TCATTACAGGCTTGGCTCTTTTTTATCTTGCTGTATTAAATTGAGTAAGTAATTTAACTTTAACCTGTGAAATGAAGGAGAGGAGAATGCTTGGGAAGGAAAGGAGATGAAAATCATCTCTAAGTTTTATCCAAGTTGTAATTGTTATGATTCCATGCCTATCGACCAGTTGATGCCTGTCCATTGTTTATTTTACATGGACAAATATTCTTTCCTTAAGGAAATTCTACTAAATATAATTTTCATACCATCTAATGCCCTATATAATTATCCTTTAGTGATGAAACTATTCAGTTGATATACATATGCTTTTTTAAAAAGAAAGAAATCACTAATACCCACTTTACTGATTGCTAGTGAAATTTACTTAATTGAAAAGTAGAACTCAGTGATGTTAAGTAATTTAGAAAAAAAACATGAAAGAATGTTCCTGCTTGTCATAATAATTAAAACCAAGTAAAGCTAGTAAGTTGTCCACCCTCCTCCCATGGTACTACATTTCAAGTAATGTATTGTAATGTACCTAAAGAAAGGTGTCACTTTGGAAGAATAACAGAAGCTTCATGCCTGAGACACTGTGGGCTTCCCTAAAGAGGTGTTATTTGGCTGGAAAGGAAGGTGGGAGTATACATTAGTTTCACATTACTACAATAGAATTCATGAAGCAGCTAAACTGTAAATATAAAAGACTTATTTAGCTAATAGGTTTTGAGGCTGAAAGTCCAGACAGTATAGTGCTGGCTTAGTGGCTGCCCCTTGGCATCACCTCATGGTATGAATGGCAGTGGCAGGAGTGTATGTCTAGAGTAGTGATTACATCTCAGATCAGGAGGGAGGGAGGGAGAGAGAGAGTGATTACACCTCAAATCAGGAGGGAAGGAGGGAGGGAGAGAAGGAGGGAGGTAGTGATTATATCTCAAATCAGGAGGGAGGGAGGGGGGAGAGAGAGAAAGAAGAGGGAGAGAGAGAGAAGGAGGAACAGAAGGAGGGAGGAAAAAGGAGAAGGGGGAGGGAAAGAGGAAGGGAGGGAGGGAGAGAGAGAAGGAATGGAAGGAAGGAGAAAAAGAGAGAAGGGGGAAGGGAAAGAGAGAGAAAGAGATCCCACAGCTCCCTTGAGGGCTACCCCCAATGACCTAAAAGCCTTCCACTAAGCCCCATATCCTAAAGGCTCACAGCACTTCCCAGTACCACTACCCTGGGGGCTAAGCATTTATATATGGATCTTTGAGGGACACTCAACATCTAGATCACAACAAGGTAGAAAAAACAGGAGTGTATCTATGGTCACAAAGGATAGAATGTTGAAACCAGGCATATTCCAGAAATTGGTCTGAGGAGATAATGATGAAAGATAAGCAGAGCTAAGTAATGAGGAACTCATTAATGACCCTTAATTTTATCCATGGGACTTGAAAATGTATATGTGAGACAACTGAAAATTTACATGGTTCTGAAAATGGAAGACTCTTTTTTCTTTTCTCTAAATTGCAGTGTGTACGCACACTCTCCAGCACCTTCTCCAACTCATGAGGAAAAATAACCCATCTAACACAGAAACACCAAATCTGAGATGTTGTGAGAAGTCACTCAATTTAAACCCAGCCCTTTCTTTCATTGCTTGTTTTAAGAAATGTGTCTCCACACCTCAACTGCATTCAGAATTAGAGTGGGTGAGAATAAAAAATATAAGGTGTCCCAAAATACTAAATCCCCAATTATGTTTACCTGAAAAAACTATCCATAGAGTCAAAGTGAAAATGACTGTGCAGGTGGGGGTGGGGTGAGTATGATCATGGAGAACAGAACAGAGTTTAAATGAGCTTCCATGGTATTCGCATTCCTCCCTACAAGCTGTCTCATACTTTCTGGTATAGAGATTCTTATACGAAGAACATCCAACTCCTAACCATTTATCCACTCACTAGTGAAGCAGTGTTAACTGCTGCTAATAATTCACCATCCTAATGATTTTTGACCATTTCAGTGTTTTTATCTGATAAAGATTCTCCTTTAGGCAAAACTTTACTCAGGCTGTTCTGAGTCCTCTCTTTGACTAGGCCCAACCTTGGGCTTGGGCTTCTCTCTCTTTTCTGGTAGAATCCAGCTTTCACAAGAATACTGTAAGTCAGTTTATCAGAAATCCTCTGCCCTTGGTATCTAACCACCATTGATAGTAGTATATCACCCTGGCCTGTCTTCAGCAATAATCCTGCTAAGTCATTTTATCCAGAAAACCCTTATCCTTCATGCTTCCTCTTAGCAGTTTTCCATCCTCTGCCCCACTACCCTGCTCCTTGGTTTAAAATCTCTACCTGTCCTTATTGGGGTCAAAGTTGAGTCCAATTTCTCTCCTCCTCCACAAGACCCAGCAGAGTGGCCCCTATACTTACTGCCATGGCCTCCCCCTTTGAAGAAAATCTGCCTTACCTTCTTTAACAAGTGTCAGGAATAACTTTTCTTTAACACATGCATTGGTTGCTTTATTAAGTATAGAACACAAGTCTACATATTTTGCCTACAAGATTTTTGAAGACTTGCTCTCTCTATTGCCCAACTAGTCAATGCCCTTATCATTACTAAATTCAGGAGACAATCTTCAATGCTTTTTTTAGCATCAGGCACTATAAACCCCTACACTTGTAGCTCCTGCTTCTCTCACAGTTTCTTCCTTACTTTTTAAACTAGTGTGTGTGTGTGTATGCAAACTCAGGGCCTCACACTTGCTGGGCAGACATTCTTACTGCCTGAGCCACTCCATCAGCCCTTAACTACTATTTCTTATGTTCTTTCTCTCCATCTTCTGTGGCTTATTACAATTATTTCTTTCTTTCAATTTATTTCACAATATTTACTTTTCTTCTTGATTGATCTGATTCATTCTCATGGTTCCTTTTGGCTTTTAAAATCATTCCATGCCTTCAAATACCAGCCAGGTCATGGATTCATTTTAACAGAATCAACCAGAACGTTTGTTAGAAATATAGCTTCACAAGTGTCCCTGACCTTGAAATTTCTGGAATTCAGAATTTTAACATAATTTTAAGGATGGAATCATATTTAAGGATCTCCAGGAGATTCTGAGGAGCAGCTAGAAATAAAATGTGAATTTTTCATATCCTATTCCATTGCCTTCAAAAAGCTCATAACCATCATCCTCCCCCAAATCCCACATGAACTCAAGTCTAGAGCTATAAAACCTTGCTTTTCCTAAACAAGCTGTAAGTTCTACATCTCCCAGCTTTTGATCCTGCTCTTTGCACTATCTAGAATGCCCTGTACTCCTTTCCTTTCAAAATGTTACCCACTTTTTAAGGCCTAACAAAGAAAGCCCTAATCCTACCCCGAACAAGGGGACCACCCCTTATCCTTGACTGTGGGCAAGCAATTTAGCTCTTCAGCCAGTTTCCTCATCTGTAAAGTGGCAGTGATATTTTCTCCCTTATGGAGTTTGTTGGGTGATTAAATATACATTTTTAACTCTACCACTAAGAAACATGAAATAAATTGTTTTTATTCTCTCTCTCTCTCTTCTGTGAGTTTTGTGCTTGGGAGACTGAGGCAGGAGGATCAGGAGTTTAAGTCCAGCTTGGGCTACGTATAGCAAGACCCTATCTCACAACAAAAACAAAAACAGACTGAGTTTATTAGCAACAAAGCCTCAGTCTTGTTCATTATTGTCCTCCAGTGACACATTGTAGCCATTTGACAAATTCCTTGGCTGTATGGCAAACAAATGAATGAGTCAATTACTCACAAAGGATATCACAGAACAATTTTTTTTAAGTATGTCTTTTTTAAAATGTATCTTTAGGAAGGAGTAAAAGGACATAGTTTAAGTAATAATGAGGGGAAACAAGGACACTAATGACCTTCTAAATCTTTCTTGTAACTGCCCAGGAAACTGGCATATGCCTGCCCTTAAGTTTGTGCCCCTTCTTGTTTTACTGGACTGTGATCATCAACATTTTGCCATTTTTGACTTTCTTTTCAGAGCCTCCTGGGTCCTTTGGACCTCCGCTTTCCCCATAGGAACTCAGCTGTTATCACTGTCGCCAGGGCTACAACAGGGATGTCTCATTCCTCACAGCTCTGCACATCTAAACTCCCGTAGCCTTTGTGCACTGAGCTGGCTAAATTCTTTATATGTACACAACCAAATCAACTGCTTTCTGTACAGCATTCTTCATGCATTATTCTACTTTAAAAAAACTGGTTTATAAAAAATTTCTACTCCTGGGAATGGCCCTTATCCAGATCTGTCAGTCCTCTTGAATGCACCAGGCATTTTTGGTCCATAGGAGTAAACATAAAAATCGCCTGTTTAGCCTTTTGTAAGGGTGTGCCACACAAGCGGGGGTCAATTTTAAAGCACAAAACAGAGCACTCATAATGGGTTTCCCTTTTAAAAGCACAGTAAACCAAAAATAGACCTGACAAAGGGCAGCTGTAGAGTTTTAACATGTGGAAAACTCCACGGGCAGCAGTTACGTAACTGGGAAGAAACATGTTAAATATTTCACACCAGTAGATGAACTTCCAACTCTGACATGTGAAAAAAAGCAAAGAACACAAAAACACACCTTAACTCTCAAGGAGCAAAATGCTTGGACTGAGAAAAGGCCAAGGCTGTTGCTAAAATCTGAGACTTTACTGTCAGCACGAGTCAAGATTACCCCCTCCAAAGCTTCCAAGGAGGAGACCATGAACCCCATCCATCTCCTTCGAGCGCTTCCCCCACGGTTTCATCCTTTGGGCCGAAATTTTCCAAAAATCTTCAGCCCTACGCTGAAAACTGAAAAAGAACTTTTGTATCGTGGAGAACAGAGTCGGGGCAAGGCCGGCGGAACTCCCCCTCCGCACGCACCCCACGGCGCCCCCATCCCGCCCCCGCCCCGCGCGCCTCCCGGGGACAGCTGGCAGCCCTGAGCGGGACCAGACAAAAGCCGATCAATCCCGGCGCGGGGGCGGGGGACAGGCAGGGCTTTCCCTTCCGCTGCGGGCTGCAGCTGCCCCTCACTTAGGACCCCGCGGACACCTCGCCCCGCATTCACGCCCTCCCCCCCAAACCCTCCACCCTTAAAAAAGATCTGGCCAGACCCCGCCCCCCCATCCCAGGGCTGGAGGACCTGCCTGTTGGCACCGAGCTGAGAAGGCGCCCCTGGAAGAGAAACTGACATCCTATCAACACCCTCCCTGCCCCTCCTCTAGCTCCTCCCCACGGCTCTCTCCTCCTCCGTCGCCCCAGAAGTTAAGGGGGCCCCTGGACCCGCCTCCCGGCTCCAGCCGCCAGGACCCTCGACCTCCGCGCGGAGCCGCCTGCTCGCGCCCCGGGAAGATGGCGAGGAGGAGCCGTCACCGCCTCCTCCTGCTGCTGCTACGCTATCTGGTGGTCGCCCTGGGCTGTAAGTTGGGGTACCCGACCCTGCCACCCACCTACCTACTCCTCCTGCTGGCACCAGCCTCCCCCAGACCTCCGTCTCCCAGTAAGGCGCTCGCTGACAGCGTCTCCCCGCCCCGGGCTGAGGGGCTGCAAAGGACTCCAGGGTTTGCACTTGGGGAGCCAGGAGGGAATCCCGCGTGCCTGCGGGCAGGCGCGGGGAGCTTGGGTTTCTGGTAAATAAAAGTCTGATTTTTGTTAGTTGTAGTTGGAGAAAATTAAGGATCCCCCCTCCAGCAGAGTCTCATCTTCTTGAAAAGTTGGGTTAAGTTTTCCAAGACCCAGGGACGTGATCAGAATGCAAAACTCACCAAGTACTCAGGAGATGCTAAGAACCCAAGAAAGATGGCATCACTGGGAGTCAGGGGGGCGGAGGGGGCAATGCAGACTGTGCTGGCATATGCAGAGCACTTGTGAGGCGAAGGTGGGAGAAGTTCGTGGCTGCTGAGCCGGAATTACTTTTATCCTCTCCACCTGCACGTCCACATTCAGTGAGAGAAGTCTGGGCTGGCGACTCCAGCCAGCTGCTGTGTCTGGTGGACGTCCAGCGAGCTGAACGATTGTTAGAAAGATGCAGGAGCTCAATGATCCAGTGGTGTAGGGGGGGCGTCTCCCCCAAAGCCAATTTCACGGGATAGTTTTAAACAGGGCTGTCACAGATTTGGACTCAGGAGATTTGAAATCCTTTTGTTTTCTTCCCTTTAACTTAGGAAAATGGAGGAAATGGAGCACACCTTAAGAAATGAAATCTTGATTTGCCTTTGCCTTTTCTTTTCCTTCCTTCCTTCCTTCCTTCCTTCCTTCCTATACTCTTCCCTCCTTGTCATCCTCCTCTTCCTTCTCCCTTCTTCTTCCTCCCAATCTTTCTTTTCTTCTTCTTCTTCCTCCTCCTCCTCCTCCTCTCCTCCTCCTCTCTTCCTCCTCCTCCTCCTCCTCTTCTTCTTCTTCTTCTTCTTCTTCCTCCTCCTCCTCCTCCTCCTCTTCCTCCTCCTCCTCCTCCTCTTCTTCTTCTTCTTCTTCTTCTTCTTCTTCTTCTTCTTCTTCTTCTTCCTCCTCCTCCTCCTCCTCCTCCTCTTCTTCCTCCTCCTCCTCCTCCTCCTCCTCTCCTCCTCCTCCTCCTCCTCTTCTTCTTCTTCTTCTTCTTCTTCTTCCTTCTTTAAGATGAGTTATTGTTAATGCTAATGTAATAATTATAGTACTTAAAATAAACTCCAGATGAATGTCTTATGTTACTATACAAGACTTTTTCTTACTCACTGCCCATGTGATCACTACTTAGCCCAAAGTGATGTGAACTATGTCCCTTAGAAGGAGAGGAGGGATCATATTGTCCCAGGGAAGGAATGTCAAACCTGAAATGTAAAGTTTCACAGTAAAACCTTTATGCAATTTTGAAATATCAAATTGGTATCATACGGAACATGCAGAGTAAAAAAAGTGCTTTTCCTGAAAGTCAACAAAGAGGCAGACTTGAGAAATTGTAACAAAACTTCTGGGAAAGTTTGGTATTCCACTGAAATCTTAAATTTCACATAAAAAGTCTGTGACTTTAGTGTAGAGTTGTCATTAATTAAAAATGGAGAAAATCATTTTTTTCTCTTGTTGTTCCATCATCAAAATAGAAGAAATGTACCCTAAGTTTGAAATTCCAACAGCTAAGAGGCAAACAAAAGCTTAGGTGAGTGGGTAGAATGACCTCTTCTTCACTGGAGTAAATATAACATATGAGCTTGACTAATCCTCATTCCTATACAGGAAGTTTTGTGGGTACTGTTTCCATGTTCTTCTTGGGATGCCAAAAAGTCTGGCATTGTGAGACTGATTTCTTTCTTTTTGTTTTATCTTTCCTTTTTAATAAGGTTAAAAATTTTTAGAACCATTTAGATTTAAAGAAAAATTTCAAACTTAGTGTAGAGAGTTCCCATGTACCTAACACCCACTTCCCCCTATTATTAATATCTTACATTGGTCTGGTACACACTTTGCTCAGATTTTCTTCATTCTTACCTAATGTCCTTTTCTGTTCTAGGATCAGTACCATCCAGGACACCACATTGTATTTAATAGTCATAGGCATGTCTCTATGGCAGTTTCCCAGACTTCCTTGTTTTCTGTTATCTTGAAGAGTGCTGGTGAAGTATTTTGCATAATATTCCTCCAATACCATTTCTCCCATGACTAGAATGGGGTTATGCATTTTATCTTTCTTTCTTCGTTTTTTTTTCCTTTAGGTTATGCATTTTTTTAAGGAAAACCATAGAAGTAAAGTACTGTTTTCATCTTACAGCAGGAAGCATGCTATAAATGACATCACTATTGGTGTTGATCTTGATCACCTGGCTGAGGCAGTACATGTCAGGTTTCTCCACAGGTTACCTACCCTTTTGTCCTTGTTTCCAGGCTATATTTTTTGGGAAGGAAGTCACTATGTACAGCCAACACTTAGGAGAGTTATACTTTACCCCTTGAGAGTGGGATAACTTCATAAATTATCTGGAATTCTTATGCACGGGAGAGATGTCTCCTCCCACTTTTTTGTTTATTTAGTCACTCATTTTTATATTAGGATGGGCTCATAAATATTTTATACTTCAGTTGATAATCCAGTATTATTTTATTTATTAAAGACAGTAGTTTTTTTACACTGTAATTACATCACATGTTGTTAATAATCCTCCCAAATATAGTTATACCACTCATTTGTTGGAATCCCATCATGTATAATTATAATATTATCCTTACTCCATTCTTTCTATTACTTGTCAACATTTTTAATATTATTCTTAGTAGTCTGGAGGATTTATTCTATTTAAAGTGTGACTGCAATATCACTATTGACATATGGATGCTTATTTTTGTGTTTATTTGATATATTAGTCAGCTTTCAATTGTAACAAAATACCTGAGATAATATACTAATACACTTAAAAAGAAGAAAAGTTTATTTTGACTCACAAATTCAGAAGTTTCATTTCATAGTCAGGTGGCATGTTTGCTTTTGGCCTATGGCAATGTAATATGACATAGCAGGGAACATGTGGTAGACACAAGAAAGAGAGGAAGGGGCAGGGTCCAACTATTCCCTACAAGGGTGTACCCCCAATGACTGGAAGACCTGCCACTAGGCCCACCTCTTAGAGGTTTCACTACCTCCAAATAGTGCCACAGACTAGGGATCAAGCTTTTTACACTGGGACTTTTGGGGACACTTAGCCATAGCAGTTGGATTTTTCTTTCCTGACCCATAAAGGAAGATATGTCTGGTTAGTAGATGTGAACCTATTGATTAGATGGTGTCTTAGTCCTTTCAGGCTGCTATAATAAAATATCATAAACACAGTAGTTTATAAACAACAGAAATTTTGTTTCTCACAGTTGTGGAGGACGGGAAGTCCACAATCAAGGCAAGGGCACAGTTTCAGTGTCTGTTGTGGGCCCACTTTTTGGTTCACAGATGGCTCCTTCTCATGGTGTCCTCATGGTAGAAAGGGAAAGGCAGCTCTCTGGGCCCCTTTATAAGGGCACTAATCTCATTCATGAGGGTTTCTATTGTGGTCTAATCACCTATCAAAAGACCCATATCCTAAACTATCACATTGGTGATTGGGTTTCAACATAATTTTGGGGACACAAACATAAAGACAGTAGCAAATGGGACTGAATAAGGTAGAAGAGGTAGACACATGTGTGGATGAAAGTTATGATTGCAGTATAAATCAAGAAGCACCAAATTCATGTTGAGTAGTTGGGATGTCAGATTTCTTTCAGGTGGTAGTTGATAACTTAAAAAAATAAGAATGAGTGTTTGGTTGGGCAGGGAGGCTGTCATGCTTTTGGGGATCTCTTAAAGCAATCATAATCAAGGAGTTGATTATGAACAACAGCAATTCTTGACATGAGCTGGCTTGTAGCAGCTGGTCTGCACTTGACCTGAGTCTATGACCTCACAGAAACCTATCAGGACTATGGTAGAAGAGAGAGAGAGGTCTGGATCTTTTATAAAAATCACAAACTAGAACTGATCCAAACTAGTACTCAAGGGGACCAATGCCAGGAAAATTCTGCCTTCTGTAAATACTGTTAAGAACAAAGCATCATAATCAAGAGAAGAGAATGGGTTCCAGCATGGCATAGTCTTAATTATCTAATGAGCATAAAGGTCAAGACGGGCTTGCTGGTAGACCGATAGCCATTTCAAGACTAGGACAGAAATTACACCTTAAAAAAGTAAAAAACACAAAACTTCAGCTTAAAGAGAACAGTGAGTTCCCTTTGGCTGAGAACATGCTTTATCTTTCCACGTGAGCAGTGTAGGGAGAGGAGCCCACGAGAGCTGACAGATGTTCACACACATGGCTTTCTTTGCAAGGTTTTCTCGAAACCATGTGTCTTTTTGATGGAGAACATGTTGGATTATAGGCAAGAGCTGCAATCTTTGTTGAAGAAATCTGTATGGGTTGTCATTTAAAATAACATTTCTTTCATCCCACGGTGACATTGGTAGCACTAACGACTCTTACTCCAGAATATCCTTGCTGTCACACTGATATTTAGAGGAAGATGAGGGTGAGAATGGAAATGGGAATTAGAACCTGGATCAAGTGCTTCCTTTGGCAAAGACAGAAAAAGACTATTAAAACTGAGCACTGTTTTCTTAGAAGGCATTTCTGTTAACAAGGCTGGAACTCAGAAAAAACTACCAACTGCATTCATTGGCTATTGCTATGAAAACAAACGACCACACACAATACCACCCAAACTTATTATCTTAAGGTTCTGGAGGTCAGAAGTCTGCAGTAATCTTGCTGAGCTAAAATCAAGTCATCAGGAAGCAATCTTCTTTCTGGAGACTCTAGTCGAGAATCTGCTTCTAAACCTTGCCCAGCTTCTAGAGGCCAATCACTCATGGCCCATTCCTCCATCTTTAAAACCAGAGATGCCAAGCTGCCATTTCTGTGGTTCTCA